GTGTGTGTGTGTGTGTGTATCCTACATCCTAAATCCTTCATCCTATGTCCTCGTGTATAAAGTGCACGCAAACATTGATGTGTGAAACATATTATCGGGGCAGGATCTGCCAAAATGGCGAGTCCATGCAATTTTATGGTATTACGGCACACTGCTTTGTTTAAACAACTGCTACGTCGGAAATAGTGGCCTCAGCGCTAATACTTCGCTGATATGAAGTCGAAAAGTGTGGGTAGCTACATTTGATTTTTATGAACACGTGCATATATGCAGATAATGAGATGTCAATATGTTTAGACCGGTTGGTACAGTGTGGCTCCCTGCTACGTTGATCATTTGCGTGAATCCCTGAATTTAAATGATACTTTGGATCGAATGCTTGTATGCGCCCTCATATGAGGCTTCTTGGTAAAACCGAGCGGTCTTAGTTGACGATAAAGTCTATCTCGAAGCAACTTTGGGAACAAGGCCAATTGTCACTTCCTATGATCAATGTAGAGCACAAAGCTTGAGCTGTGATTGTACTTGCTCATATAGCGCATTTTCATTCTATTGTTACAGGTCTTGGTTACTCTCAAGCTTCACCCGTCAACGAAAAGACGAAAAGAGCATAGTAATTAGAAGCAACCGATTGCTCGAGAATAGTCATGGGTGATTCGATACTAATCAATGGCTGAGCGCATGCGTAAACAACTGTGAAGTTGGTGCTCAAACGGCTATTACTATCGTCTTCGCGACAAATATGGGCCGCATGATGCGCAACAAAAAGAAAGGGAGTGTAGAATGACGTCGTAGTACCTTTGACTTTTATTGGCGCTTTATACGAAAAAATGCGAGTTATATCCATGAATAAATGATTACACCCAGTAAGCGCATGTGACGCACAAGATAGAAGGAGATCAATGGCATTACAAACTATAAGATACAAAGAGATCAAGGACAATGCGAACTACAAGACTAAAAGATATCAAGGGCAATGCAAACTCTTCCCTTGTGCGCTTGACCTCCTACCAGGGGAGAAGCTGAAGGGGTCTGTGGTCTGCACTGTTCATTCAAAAGAAGGCTGACATTTTTATTTATTTATTGAAAAATGAACCCTAAACCCTAAATCCTTAAAGTTCTATTCACTTCGCGAGTAAATGTAAAATGTAAAGAGGGTGTATTTTTATAAAAACTAAATACTCGATATTTAGTGATTTTAAAATCTTTAGTCTCTGAGTTCAAAGGTCAGACAGAGCTAGTGTACGCTTACTCAACTGACAGGAGGAAAGGGAAGACCACCATTATCCTAATAGAAAAGACACACATAATCGAACTATATACATAAAATTCAAGGGATGATCATAGCGTGAAGAAGAGTGCCGAACGCACACCGAGCACTGTTTCAAAAGAGTTTGCGTCGTCTATTCAGTATTAGCTATACTTGCAAAGGCTACCGATACAACTAATCTTTCATTATGCAGTGCACTCGTAGGTTGATAATGAGCAGTGTAAGATGTACCGTGAAAGGGATGCGATCAACACATACTTTATTTAAGGGAAACCAGCTTGCGATGGGAAGCATGACCACACGCCGTCACATACCCTTTTATTGCGGCGAGATTTTGATGAGACAGGGTAGATACGTCAGGCCACGATGTTTGCATGTACAGGGAAGGGGCAATTGTCAAAGTGTAAAACGATGTATTAACCAGTATGAATATATCAGAATCCTTGATTGTATTACACCCGGCTCTTCTATTTCATATCGCATGCTGCACACATCCACAACAAATTCAAGAGAAAATATATGCATCGCTACTGAAGATAAACGCTCACAAGCATTCACGAGCATGAATATTGATCAAGCGGAAGATCTGGACAAACTTACGATGCTCGATATGATTGATGACTTGTGCGTACCGATAGATGGAACTGACAAACAGGTTGGAGTGTCTCAAACATCGGGACACGGTGCAACGTTTAATAGTAGACATGTGCTCAAGGATAACATTCATATAAACAAGGAAATCAACAAGAGATCTGCAGAGATAGATATAGAAAATCATAAAGCATGTTCTGGCGGAATACCGCCTCCGAAGGTTGAACCAGAAGTTTATAAAGGCGGGAAAAAAGAACGGCGAGCAATCGAGGGAGCTATTCAGTTTGCATTGAAAAACCAAAACCTCGACCGCGCGGCCATGTTGTTTACGAAAGCGAATAAGAAGAATTTACGCCTTAGTACTCGGACGTGTAAAGAGGCGATGCGAAGATTCTATCAGGCACAGAAACACCAGGAAGTACTTGGAGTTGAACCTGTTCTGACGAGGGAGAAGCTGAAGTGCGACACTGAGATGTATCTGTACTTGCTCGAAGCACACTCTCGCAACAGCAACTGGCCGCAAACGATCGTCTTCCTGGGTGAGATGATTGCATTGAATGTGCCCAGGAATGACCGCATCTATCTCGCCGTGTCCAAGACCTGCTTGGCAGCCAAGGAGCGCCAGAAGATGTTCACGGTGCTGCAGCGTGGCATCGATGATACGGCTGGCTTGGATGCCTTTGTCCCCAAGTACCTCATAAATAAAGGGGCCGAGATGGGCGAACTGGACGTGTGCGATGCACTGTATGAGTACATGGTGCAAGCGCACCACTGGCGTGCGTGGATTAACCTCAAGCACGACGGGCTGCTAGATCTGCACTCTCACACCACCGCCATGGCCGAGGCCGCGGTCAGAAGGGTTCTGCGACTGATGTTAAACCGACGGTACAAGCGCACCAGGGGACCACTCTGGCAGTTGCAGACGCCAGAGCAACAAGCCCGGGCAGAGGCCATGTCGGCAACCCAGGACGCCTCCCAGGGATTCTCGAGCTCACGTACAATTGAGAAGTACCATCCATTCGATGCGTTTGTGGTGGGACAGCCGCGGGCGTCCAGTCCGCCGTCGCAGAAGTCGCTGCGAAGAGCCGTGCAAAACTATCTAGTGCACGCTGTATCCCCGCCGATCAGGACGTACACGCCCGAGGAGAAGGCTGGCTATCTGGCTATGGATGCGGATGACTTGGCTGGGTGGTTGGCCAGACAATGAAGGCCACGGCCGGTTGGTCGCTACTAGAAAAACTACCGGATGATTTAGATTGCGAGGTGTGATGGCAAGACGGAAATGGGCTAGACCAATTATGCTGATAGACCAATATGCTGAATTAATCCGGAATGTAGTATCTCACTTGTGACAGACGGTGAGCCCAATATGGCTAGAGCGGTATGGCTAGACCTTCGCTGCTGGCTGTGCTCAATTGTTATTGCAAGCATCCTATAGTACCTTTGATAGAAACGTATCATCCATAAGAAGGTCAGCTAGTTGGCCTTGGTTGTTGATCACCCGACAGATTACATGGCCAGTTTATATATGACTAGGCGGGAAAAATGCTAGTTTCGCGGTAAAGAGTCATGATCGATTGCAATTTATTTAAACAACACCGACTCGGTTGAGGCCAGGATTGTGAATCAGACCATAATGCAATACACTATAGGGCTGAACAGCATTACTTGCTCATGCCAGGCCTTTGCCGATGGTATAGTGCTGGTCGTGTCTACTCCCAGGAGGCCGCTACTTGCATAGCACTAGCCAGTATGCGCTAGAAAGCACTGTGGAAGCAATGCGATCATGGTCCCTTGAGTGCGGAAGTGCAGGGCTGGACAATAAAACTACAATAGTGCTGAACGGGGCGAGAGGAACAGTTCAGCAGTACAAACAAATCAGACAGCAAATCAGACAGCGGTATTTCACTATGCTTTGGTGGATTTTAGATATGTCAGGCTTTAGTTATAAGAGTACAAACAAATCAGACGACGGTATAAAAAATCAGACATCGGTACTTCACTATGCTTTGGTGAATATTAGATATGTCAGGCGTTAGTTGTAAGCACGATGCACCGGCTGATGGACAAGAAATCGAGCTACAGCAGGGCTTACCATATACAAGAGATACTTGTGAGAGATCTTAAGAGTTTGGACTACATCTGCACGTCACTGGAGAGTGGATAAACCGATACATACCTCAGAGTGTTGTACACATAGCCATATATACGTATATTGATGACACTCTATTGGTCGGTATGCATGTGTCTAGATTTACAGCTCGCAGTTCCACTACGCCTGAACCATACAATAGGATGTAAGTTCACCAAGCACGGTGCTGTTCAGCATGGATTGGAGTTGCAAATTAAAGTCACATTTCCTTCATTATTGTATATGAGTAAAATTAACTAACTTCAATGATACTTCACCATTACCAGGTGAATGTTTACTACCTCCCATTTTCAATCTACCTCCAAAATTGTAGATATCTGGAATACATGTTCCAGAAAAAACCCCTAATTCACACCGCCGTTTCAAACAATCCGGCTGATGCAGGGGATTGCTTCCGAAAATTTAAACTACAGTCATGTAAACAGCTGACCACTACAGAACCAATCGACTGGTCTCCAGCTTCCAGTCGTTCTTAGTCGCATCCAACCAACGATTCAGATCCTGTGGCATTTGGGATCTCCACGTGTCTGTGTTTGACGGTCGTGCGATTATCTCCCGACGAACAGCGCGATGGCATATTTGTTTTAAGGTGCTGACGGAAGGCTTGATACCTGCAATATATACATATATACACGTGAATATACATTATTTGTTTATTTTTTCATGCAAGTATACGTATGTATATTTCCATGTTCGTATAATACACTTTCGCTCTCCGCAACGCCCCTTCAACTTAGTCATTATTGATGAATGCTTGCCACGAAACATACATACTAAAACGTATGAAATGATGAAGCATAAGGTAAGTGCGCATTAACGAATCTGGATCATTAGTACACCACACCTGCTCAATGATCGATAGTTCCAGACATATATATATATATA